CGCTGCGCCAGGAGCCAGGAGCTCGGCCGCCGCTCCAGACCCCCGCGCGCCGGCTCCTGCGCCGCGCCGTGGGGCCCTCGGTCCTTGGCCGGCAGCGACTGGCGCCCGGGCGCTCGGTCTTTGTCCCGCCGCCAGCGACGCAGCCCCTGGGCAGCGGGACCCGTGGCGAGCCTGAGGGGCGGGCCCCTCCCGCCGAGCGCAGAGGTGTCGCAGCCGAGACCCCTCAGTTTCGGTCCCCGTGCGTGACGGAGGCTCCGCAGCGGCGGCAGAGGGCCGCCTTGGTGATGCTGTCACGTGGCCGGAATGGTGGAGGGGCTTAGGGCCGGCGGAGAGGTGGCCGGTGAGGGGTAGAGAAGCGCGCTGGGAGCGGGGCAGGAGGGGTTACGGGTTTTGTTGCCGCGTTAGGAGCGGGGGAGGATGGTGGTTGAAATGTCCCGTCTGAGGTGGGTCTGAGGCTGCCCCCCTGCATGGACTCTAGGTGCTCGGGGTAACCCTGCGACAGAGACTGGCCAGGGACAAACGCTTCTTGGTCGGGGCCGGGGCGGGGGCGTGGGGCGGAGTGAGGAGATGAGGAAAGAAGTTCCGGAGCTCGGGTTGTGGGCGGTGCCCAGGGGACCTCGGGTTATTTGTCCAGTGCCCCCCCCCCCCGCAGCAGGGTCGTGCAGCGCCCACTGGAGCTGGAAGGGGTCCAGGAGCAGGAGTGGGCATGGGCAGTTGTCCCAAGAAGGGTCACGTGCTTGGGGAGAGCCTTCTGCACGCCCCACCCCCTCAGCAGGCCGGCTGGGGTCCAGAGCTGAGAAGAAGGGAGGGGTAGGGACGCAGCCCCCTAACTGCTTTTCCAGACCTGGGCCTCTCCCTCGTGTTTTGGAGGCCAGGGTACCTAGAACTGGCCACAGAGCTGCCTTCCAGCACCGTCCTGGGAGGCCAGGGCGGCTAATTGCCTGCACCGAATTGCCGAGAGTATTCTAGGGGCGGCAGGATTTGTCGGTGCAGAGCATCTGGGATGTGGCTTTAAAGGCAAGTTGAGCAGGCGGTCTGCGTACCCCCGTGTGAGCTGCAGAAGCTTCTGGAGAGACGGGCTTGGTGTCGCGCCATCTTCCCTCTGCAGCCTTCTGGGAGGGCTCTGGGGCCACCAGTCAGGAGCGGCTGCCAGGCTGGGCCCGGACAGATGAGGTCTGCATCCAGCACTGGTGATGGGGATCCCTGTTGGGGTGGGGTCTTGGGCTAAAGCACTGGGTCTGCAGAGCCGGTGGGGGGCCTGCTGGGTGGGAACGCCATCAGGAGGCTGCTTGTGCCCTTAGGAGGGCTGGGAACTGCGGCTGTGTCAGCAGGTGGCAGGAGGTGTGAGGCTTAAAGGTGTTTAAGCCATAGGCTGATGGGACTTGCTGAGGAGAAGCCGGAATCTGGGGTGCCCCCCGGAGGTCTGAGTATGGGGGAAGAAGGCGGATACGTGGTCTGCCATCCAGCAAGAAAAGGAACTGCTGGGGGGGCGGGGTAGGAAGCGAGTGCAGGTGTTTTAACCTGGGGAGGGCGGCTGGGGGTTTGGAGACTTGGGACCTAGGGGCCAGGCCTAGAGGAGAGGCTCTAAAGAGACTGGGGATGGGGGAGCAAACCTGCCATGAAAGAGCTTCCCCTCTTCCTCCCAAAAAACCTGGGATCTCGAGAGGAGGTGTCCCAAAGGCTGAGGGAAGGGAGAGTTCTAGAAGGATGTAGTCTGCTGTTGAAAAAGCAGCAACAGACTGAGGAAGGAAGGAGGGGCCGCCACTGGCCAGCTGGGGGAGAAGCCTCAGTGCAGATGGGAGGGGGCAGTGGGAAGAGGGACCAGGCTGATGCCTCCCAGTGGGGAGGGGAAAGGGCGGGGGGGGTGTGACCGGAGGGTGGGACTGGGCAGCTCTAAGATGGACAGGATGCCAGCCATGCCCTCCTGCCTGGCCCGAGTGCCCCCCTTTCTCCAGAGGTGAGGGTTTGGGGGTGGAGGTGTGAAATGACGAGAGGGGGATTTTATCAGTCTGCCTTGCACACTTCCAGGGTCAGGGAGCTCACCTCCCCTCTGGCAGGCCCCACCCCCCTCCAACCGTGCGGCTTAGATCAGGGAGCAGACTTGCTTTTTGGGAAGGTGCCCTGCAGAGCCCACCTCTGCCCGGCTGATGTCCAGGACCGACAGATGACCCGCGGGCCCAGGCCGAGCTGGGCCAGGGCCTTGCCCACCGACTAGCAGCGGCCACCGCGTCTGCCCTGCCGCGGGCTCGGGGAGCCTCAGCCCAGCCTGCCCGGGGCCTCAGGCCGGCGCCCGGGCTCTGGCTCCGTGTCTTCACTCCCGTGTGTGTCCGAGGAGGGAGGGAGGGACGGGGGCTGTGCTGGGGCGGCCGGAACAGCGCAGGTCACCGGGCTGGCTGGACGAGGTGGCCAGGCGGGGCTGAGGGGGCGCCGCAGGGAGGCGGCGGGGGCGGGGGAGGGGCGGGGGGGGGCGAGGGGGGGCGGCTCACGGCTGTGAGCGGTGGGTGGGCCCGACACTGCCAAGGAGCCGGCCTGAGAAAAGGGGGTCCTGGGTGTTTTGTCCTCGCCTCTCTCCTGCCTGCAGGAATGGAAGGTTCAGGAGGGAGGGCGGCCAGCCGGGGAGGCCACCTCGACAGCCTGCACCCTCCTGCCTCTCCTGCCTGCCCGCTGCTGCCCTGTGACCCATCCAACCTGGCCTGGGTGCCTGTCACAGCTGAGCCTAGGCTGGCACCTGCAGCCGCTCCCAGCCCCAGGGCACGTACCCAGTTCAGCCCCCGACCCCCAGCCCGGCACCACCACGGCCCGCTGGTCCCAAGCAGCAGGGGAGGGTCCTCGCCAAGGGTGCTCTCCCGGCCCCTGCCAGGGGGAAGGCGGTCAGGGCCCAGGCCCCTCCTGGCTGGGTGCACACGGCCCTGTTGCACAGCCTCCACCATCAGGGAGACGGGTCCACTGTCTGCCCGGCTCTACCAGCTGGGACGACGCCAGGTGGGGGACCCTCGTCCTGGTCTGTGAGCTGCCCCCTGCTGGCGATGGTGCAGGGCCACTGGTCAGCGTCAGCAAGGGCAGCCGAGAGGAAGAACTGTCTCTGGGGACGTCCTCGGGTCCCAGCCCTCCCCACCCCCCGAAGGAAGGAGGGCAGGGATGGGGGTGCTTACTCTCTGCCAGGCCCTGGGGAGCCAGGCTCTGTCCCTCCACCCCAGCTGGTTCCCGGGAGACCCGCACGTGGCCAGAAAGGCCTGACTCAACCCGGGGCAGGGGGCAGATCCCAGACCCCTGACTCCCCACCCCGCGGGCCTGGGGCTCTGCAGGGCATAGGCACACGAGCTCCGACATCTACCCCACAGTCAGCCCTGTTCCAGGGTGGAGACCACAGCGCCCCTTAGACAGCAGGCCCTGGGGGCAGGTTTGTGAGGGAAAAGGGGGAAGGAGCTGCGCTTCCTGCCTCTGCCCCCCGCCCTCCTTCCTCCCCACCGAGCCTCTTTCACGTCCCTCGAGTGCCACCGGAGTGTGCAGCACCCTTCTGCCCCCTCCCACCGCGCCTGGGGCACCGCTGCCCTCTCCTGGCTGTTACACTGATGGGCACAGAGCTGCAGACAGGCCATAGGGTGACTCTGTCCTCTGCACCTGTCCCTGCTTCCCCGGGGCGTGTGCAGGAGAGGAGGACGCTCAGACTTAAGTGTGACCTAAGCACCTCCCCCCCCCTCCCGCAGGCTCTCCAGGGTTAATTCAGCCTGCGGAGAATGACTTGGTCTTACCCACCCCTCTCCCCCGGGCAAGGCCTCCGCTGGAGGCCGCTGCCCACCCTGCAGGCCCCCCCCACTTAGGGCAGCCTCGGGACCCAGAGAGCTCTGCCCAGGCTGCTCCATGACCCCCTGCAACTGTGCCGGCCACACCAGGCGAGCCCTCGACTCCAGCCCCACACAGCCCCTGTCCGGGCCAGACCCCTGCGTCCACTTCCCTCCATGCCCTGCCCCGCTTAGAGTCAGGAATTGCGGCCTGTGGGGAGTGGGCCTGGGGGGCTGTGAGGCAGCCCAGTGGCCATGGGGGCCTGAAATTGAGCGGCCTGAGCCACTCGGCCCCTGACTGTGTGACTTCAGACAGGAACCGGCGTCTCTGCCAGCCTCAGTTTCCTGGTCTGTAAAGTGGGTTCACAGCACCCACCTCAGAACGGGGACCAGCACAGTTTCAAAGGTGCGCCCTGCACCACGAGAGTGGGGGAAGCGACCTCAGTCACGTCCCAGCGCTGCTGTAAGCAGTGCTGCCGGGAGCCCGCGCCCGGGCGGCGGCACGGGGGTGATGGGGGCTTTGAGGGTACAGAGGAGGGTGCGCACACCCGAGGGGGCTCGGTGTGTCCTGCCAGGTGGGTGCGGGTCTCACAGCAGGGCCCCAGCAGACCTGTGCCCGGGCTGTCCTGACGGGTGGGCCTCGGCCTGAGGGGCCACTGCCTCTGGCCGGCCCGGAGCTGTGGGTGGGTGGCCTGCAGGGGCTGCTGTCCTCAGTGGGAGCTGGCACCCCGCACTGGGGTCAGGGAGGGGCGCCGGGCAGGCCTGGGCACTTCCGCTGTGAGCCTCGAACCTGGCAGCCCCCCGTGCCCCCCCCACAGGACCTGAGGCCTCTCTGTGCTGAGGTCCAGGCGTGAGCTGAGCTGCTCAGGGCCCCTGGGGCGGCCCTCCTCACACGCAGGGGGCGTGGAGGAGGGCTCAGCCTTCCGCACTCCTGCTCTACACCCATCCCCACCGGGGCTTGCCCCAGGAGACCTGGAGGTGGGATTCTGCAGAGGAAGCCCTGCTCCTGTGCCCTGTGCTGAGGGCTGAGCGGCCCACCCCAGGCGCTGCCCCGAGCCGGGCCTGCCTTCCCCCCACCCTGGCAGGCAGCCCCACCCGCGTGCCGATCACGTCCCCTCTCTGCAGGAGAGCCCACCGGCTGCGAGGCCCGTTCTCCTGGTGCCCCGCCCCCCAGCCTCCCATAGCCCTCCTCTCCCTCACGCCAGCCCCTCCCCACAGGTGAGCACCTGCGGATCTGCCCCCAGGGCTACACCTGCTGCACCAGCGAGATGGAGGAGAACCTGGCCAACCGCAGCCGGGCCGAGCTGGAGACGGCGCTCCTGGACAGCGGCCGGGCCCTGCAGGCCACGCTGGCCACCCAGCTGCGGGGCTTTGACGGTGAGGGGCTCCGGGGCCGCAGGACACTCACAGCGGGGGGCTGGGCACTTGGGGACCTCTCGCAGTGAGGCAGGGTCAGAGGGGACGTAGTAGCAGAGCACTGGCCGCGTGCAGGGGTCTGAGCAGGGATCCGTGAACTGGGGGTCACCTGCAGGTCTCCGTGCACCCCAAGGCATGCACGTTTGGGGAGAGGCAGCCTGCCCCTTCCATCAGGCCCTCAGAGGGGACCCTCTGCCCTCCAGAGCTCTCCTAGGCACCTGCCACTGGCCACCAGGTGGTCTGGAGCTGGGGGGCTCAGCGTGAGGACTGATATCGGGGGCCAGGCCGGGGCTGCAGGGTGCTGGGTGGAGGCACAAGGAGTTCGGGGCCCCTGCCGTGGCCCTCGAGCCTCCAGGTCAGCTGTGTGTGTCAGTCACCTATTCCCAGCCCCTCACCAGCTCTCTCGTCGTGTCTGGGCCCCTAAACAAGGGATGGCGGGATGATGGCTGACAGCGGGCACCTCGGAGGGGATGGCGGGCGCTGGTGGGAGGGGCCCCAGAAGTGACAGCTGATGTCAGAGCCTGCACAGCATCCATTCGGGACACTAATCTGTTAAAAGCGACTCCTCTTCCGCTTCCAGGCCCACTTGTGCCCCCCCACCCCGAGAGTCCTTTCCACCTGCCCCTCTGCGTGCCGCTTCCCGCCCCGCACCTCAGCCCCACTGTCGTGCCTGCTCCGGCTGCCCCGTGCCTTGTACCCCGGGAGCAGTCCTTACCTGGCCACCAGCGGCAGGGGTCTCAGAGCCTTCGTCTGAAGTGCGCCTGGGACCTGCGTGTAGCAGGGCCTCGGGTGGCTGTGTTCCAGGACGCGGGGCCCACGCTCACGCGCCACACCTTCTGGGCCGGCTGCCAGCGTCCTGGCTCAGAGCAGGACCCTGCTCAAAAGATGGGGCTGGAGGCTGGCCGTGGGGTTGGGGGCCCCGCGACCACCCTGTGTGCTGCTGGGCTAGCGATGAGCTACAGACTGCCCGTTTGGGCTGGAGGCTGGTGTGGGGACCAGGACCCGGAGTCCCGCAGCAGGAGCTGGATGGGAGCTTGGACCATCCGCTCCTTCCCACAGTTCCCTCCTGGGGAGCTGCAGGGGCACAGCCGGAGCTGCGGGAGGGTCTTGGTGGGGTGGGTGTAGACACGGGTCCGAGAGCCAGAGGCCTAATGTCCACCACGCCTCAGAGCAAAGCCAACCTGGCCGTGTGTCCCTGGACACCCGAGTTGGGGCCTGTGTGGGGAGGGCTGGCCACAGCTCTCGAGGAAGCGTCTGAGTGGGCGGTCTGTGTGCTATGGACCCTGCCGTCTCCCTGCTGAAAGGGGCGGACGGCGTTAGGGGCCTCGTTCTCAGCACATGGGGCCCAGAGGTATTTCCCTGAAACCACAGGGGTCTGCGGCCCACGCTCATGCCCCGCCTCGGCACCCCCCTCCGAGACTCTGGGTGCATCCCGAGGGCTGCGGAGACCCTCCCCAGACCCTCAGGCTGTCCAGCTTCCAAAACCAGAGAGAGGGCATCCGAGAGAGATGAGGACGGAGGGGGAGGGCAGGAAGCCCAGGAGAGCCTCAGAGGTGGGCAGGGTGGAGAGTGCAGAGGCACACCCCCAGGGCAGGGGGCCTGGCTGGGTGTCAGAGGCCGGGGTACGGGGAGGGGGAGGGACGCAAGGAGAGCTGCTGAGAGGGAAAGCAGGCGAGGGACGCCCTGGGCCTTCTTCCCCCAGTGGGTCCCACCCCGACTCAGAGCACCCTCCTGGCCCTCCACACAGACCCTTGCCAGGTGATCTCGGGGGGCAGTGAGGCACCGTGTGTCCCCTGCTCAAGGCCCAGCTCAGAAATGGATTCTGGATGCCCAGGCCCCGGGCCAGGAGGGGGAGGTCTCAGAGCCCCGTGGGGGTGGGCACCCAGGGCCCGTGCAGGCTCTGATGACTCTCACAGCACCGGGGGTCCCCGGCAGAGCCCCCTTAATGCCGGTCGCGCTGCCACAGCACGCGGGGTGGGCAGGGGGCTCCGGGAAGGCCTGACGCCCGCCTCCCGTGCGCAGATCACTTCCAGCGCCTGCTGAACGACTCGGAGCGGGCGCTGCAGGAGACCTTCCCGGGCGCCTTCGGGGAGCTGTACGTGCAGAACGCCAAGGCCTTCCGCGACCTGTACGCCGAGCTGCGCCTCTACTACCGCGGCGCCAACCTGCACCTGGAGGAGACGCTGGCCGAGTTCTGGGCCCGCCTGCTCGAGCGCCTCTTCCGGCAGCTGCACCCGCAGCTGCTGCTGCCCGACGACTACCTGGACTGCCTGGGCAAGCAGGCCGAGCCGCTGCGGCCCTTCGGGGAGGCCCCCCGCGAGCTGCGCCTGCGCGCCACCCGGGCCTTCGTGGCGGCGCGCGCCTTCGTGCAGGGCCTGGGCGTGGCTAGCGACGTGGTCCGGAAGGTGGCCCAGGTGCGCGCGGAGGCCCCGCCCCCTGCCGCACGTCCCCGCGCCCCACCCCGGGGCCCTGGGACTCCCGGTGTCCCCTTCCACCCCCCACCCGGGCGGGTGGGAGGATCCAGCATGCGAGCTCTGCTCGGGGCAGCGATGGCCAGGCCGGTCCCGGGCAGAAAGGGAAGGGAAGAGGGCTGCGGCTGGTTGCTGAGCCAGCTCCAGGGGTCAGGTGGACGGGAGACGGGGGATGAGGGAGGTGTGTGCTCCGAGGCCGGGGCGAGGGATGCCTGGCCCCGTCGGGCAGCTCGCTCGTGTCAGACCCACCAGCGTCGGGTGTGGGAGGGCATCGTGAGCCACCTCCACCCCCACTGGGGTCCCTAACGAGTCACCTACAGCCCCAGCCTCCATCCATTCAGCTGCGTGGTGGGCGGTATTCCCGCTTCCCTGGGAGGGTTCGTGACCGCGGTGCCCCGGGGAGTCGCGGCACTGTGAGTGTATCGCTTATTAGACGGAGCCCCACCATGGCCAGCAGGCCTGCTTGGTCATCTGAGAAGGACCCGGGCGCGCCTTGTGGGGCTGCACACCTGCTGCGGGGTGGCGCTCAGGCTGCCTTGCCTCCCCAGGTGCCCCTGAGCCCGGAGTGCTCACGGGCCGTCATGAAGCTGGTGTACTGTGCCCACTGCCTGGGGGTGCCTGGCGCCCGGCCCTGCCCCGACTACTGCCGCAACGTGCTCAAGGGCTGCCTGGCCAACCAGGCTGACCTGGACGCCGAGTGGAGGAACCTTCTGGGTGAGCTCCCACTGCCGTCACCGCCTGCGGGAAGGGGGGTTGGGGGCGTGCAAAACCGGGCCTGTCCTCTGGAGCAGGCGGTCCCTGGGGCGAGGAACAAGCTGCCCCCCGAACGTCCCGAACAGACTGCAACGTGGGCAGCTGCCCGGGAGGGAGCCCTGCGGGGTCACAGTCCTGCCCTTCTCCACTGAGCGCGTACGTGCCAACACGTGCGCGAGTTAACGTGTGCGTTGCTGCCCTGGGGTGGGCCAGCTCTGAGGGGTGCCGACGTGACGTGGGTCACCAAGCAGCTGTGCCAACACAGATGTGCCACAGTGTGTACACCTGCTGCTGCGCGGTGAGCCCGCGTGCATCCACGGTGACACACGTGAGCTGACGGGAGGGTTCAGCGTGCCTGTATACCGAGATGTGTAAGTTCTAACGCGTGCTGACACGTGGGCCAGCCCACATTCGTGCTGAGACACGTGCTAACGTGGACGTGTGCTGGCATGCCTCGAGCCAACGTGAAAACTATGTGAGGTAACATAGGTATGTGGTGGGCCAGGTGTACGTGTGCCGACACACACAGGCGCTAACGTGTACACGGGCTGGCCTGAAGTGAGCCGACATACAGATATATCGTCTCGTACAAGCTGCCGTGTGTGTGGTAGCACGTGGTGAGCCAGTGCGCGTACGTACAAAGTGCCCCCTGTGTGTGTGCTCACGCCCGTGCCAGACTCCATGGTGCTCATCACAGACAAGTTCTGGGGCCCGACGGGCGCAGAGAGCGTCATCGGCGGCGTGCACTTGTGGCTGGCAGAGGCCATCAGCGCCCTACAGGACAACAGCGACACCCTCACAGCCAAGGTGCGGGCAGGGGCATGCAGTGGGCGAGGGTGGGCGCCCCGGATACGGCCTCGTACCCTTCCAGGACACTTGCGTTCTCCCCCCAGGTCATCCAGGGCTGCGGGAACCCCAAGGTGAACCCCCAGGGCCCCGAGCCCGAGGAGAAGCGGCGCCGGGGCAAGCTGGCGCTGCCGGAGAAGCCACCCGCGGGCACGCTTCAGAAGCTGGTGAGGGGCCCCTCAGCCGGGCAGGCCCTGGGGGGAAGCGGTTGGGGGTCCAGGGCAGGCTGGGCCGGGGCGCCCAGGGGCCTGACTGCTGCCCTGCAGGTCTCCGAGGCCAAGGCCCAGCTCCGAGATGCCCAGGACTTCTGGATCAGCCTCCCGGGGACGCTGTGCAGTGAGAAGTTGGCCATGAGCGCGGCCAGCGATGACCGCTGCTGGAATGGGGTGGCCAAGGGTCGGTAGGTGCCCCTGGCTGACACACTCCGTCCCTCCTTCACGGCCCCTTGCCAGTCTGGGGCACCAGATGTTGTGTGCATAGGGCCATACCTGACGCGGGACACCCAACGGGACCCAGAGCTGGGATGAGGGCTGAGTCCTCGCCCTGTGCCAGCTCCCCACAGCAGGCGCCATGCTCAGCGCATCCTCACCCCACTGCAGTGGCGTCTGCACGGGCTCCCGTCGGCCCCTGGAGCCTCTGGGGGGGTCTCAGGCTTGCCACCGCCCTGACGGGGGGAGGGGAGTGGGCAGGCATGCTGGGGCAGTGCCCCTGTGTGGGGAGCAGGGCAGTGACCCAGGGCTTGCCCTCCCGGCCTCCAGGTACCTGCCCGAGGTGATGGGCGACGGCCTGGCCAACCAGATCAACAACCCCGAGGTGGAGGTGGACATCACCAAGCCCGACATGGCCATCCGCCAGCAGATCATGCAGCTGAAGATCACGACCAACCGTCTGCGCGGCGCCTACAACGGCAACGACGTGGACTTCCAGGACGCCAGTGAGAGCGGGCCAGGGGTGGCCTGGGGGCTGAGAGCTGAGGGTTGGTGCCAGAACGCCAGGGAGAGCCCCCGGCCGGGGAAGGCTGCAGCGGATGGGGCCCTCCCAGCCCCCGGGCCTCCACAGTGGCTCTGAGGACGCTGCCACTGCCCGGTGTGGTCACAAAGTCCCCCTGCCCCTTGTCCCCGGGCACAGTTGTGACCCGGCCCGGACGTCCTCCCAGCCTCGGCAGGCCCAGGGGGTTGGGGTGCTGCGGTCAGGGCGGAGCTGGCGTCACTGGCCCGCGAGGCCCAGGCGGAGGGACGCGGCTCTCGGGGTCCCCAGGGCTGGGCGGGCCCACTGGAGCCGCCTCTTCTCCCCAGGTGATGACGGCAGCGGGTCAGGCAGCGGCGAGGGCTGCCCCGACGACGAGTGTGGCCGGAGGGTCGGCAGGAAGAGCTCCAGCTCCCGGACGCCCCTGAGCCACGCCCTGCCCGGCCTCTCCGAGCGAGAGGGTCAGAAGGCGTCGGCCACGGGCCGCCCGCAGCCCTGCACACGCCTCCTGCTGCTCTCCGGCCTCCCGCTGGTGCTCTCAGCAGCCAGGCCCCGGTGGCGGTAACTGCCCGGCCCCAGGGCCCGAGGCCAAGGACTGACTTTGCCAAAACCAGACGGTACAGGAAGGGTCAGCGAGGAACCGCGGCCGTGACTGTGCTGGGGGCCGGGCGAGGGGCTGTGCCAGCCACCCTGGCTTTTAGTTTTGTATGAGGCCCTCAGGTCAGCAGGGAACGGCGTCCCCAAAAGCCATGCATTTCAGGGACCTCGGGGATGCCAGTGCCGTCTCTCGCCCCCAGCTCCTGCGCCATCACGGCAGTACCAGGGCCTGCGAGGAGGCGGCCCGAGCAGAGTCCCGCCGGAGCGCGAGCCGCGCCTTCATCTCCCGCCTGCCCCGCCGAGCACCGGGGCCTCCAGGTGTCTGAAAGTCAGGCCCACCCCCAGCGCCCAAGAATCCCTGAGAGGGCGTCGGAGTTCCCGCCGTCTAGGGTCTAACGGGGCCTTTGAGATCACGCATGAACCTTGCCCCACCCCCCCACCAGAGCCACCTCTCAGCTGCGTCTGTGCGGGGCTGGGCCGCGGCTCCTGCCCATCCACAGGGGACTTCGGGCTGTGCGGACGCGCCACCTGCCGTCGTCCTGCCCCCTGTCTCCACCCAGACCCAGGGCCAGTCCCAGCTCAGGGCGACACAGGCCAGGGCTGCAGGTGACCCCTGGCTGTCACCTGGCCACAGAGATGCTGGGTGGCTGGTGAAACTTCAGCTCAGGGCCAGCGAGACCCGGCTCTGCAGGCTGGAGGGACATCCCTTCCCTGACCCCGCCAGCTGCAGGGCCCGGGGAGCTTTGACAGTTAAGGGCTTTTCCAGCCGTGCGTACTCTGCAAGCGCTTCCCGTCCTCTCACCTAGAGCTGCTTTCTCAGCTCATCCCCAAATGCTTTTGAAGGTCCCGGGCGACCTTCCGTGGCCCTGGGATCTGGGCGCACCCCCGCTCACTCAGGCTGTCCAGGCCCCTCCGTAGACCTGTGGGCCCACCCTCCTGGGCCCTACCCTCTGCAGGGCCTGGGGAGGGGCTGGCGACAGAGGGAGCCGGGCACAGGAGGGTGGTCCTTGAGGGTCTGGGGGATATTAAGCCACCATGACCAGGGAGAGTGGTCCTCACCAGCCCCCGGGCCCTGAGAAGGCTGCTTCGCGCTGCTTTGCTTTTCCTCACGGGGCTGGGGGGCCCCTGGCCACTGGTTAGGGCTTCTGGGGTGTGTGGGGTCCTGCACTCCGCCGGCAGCCCAGCCTCACAGGCACACCCACCCCATCGTAACCCTGTCGTGCCTGGGCAGGGGGCTGGGCCTGGGGCCTCCTTCCCTGCGAGTGAGGGCTAGCTGAACTCTCAGGGGCTCTGGGGCAGTGACCACCCGTGTGCCAGGACGGCCCCAGAGCGGCCTGCATTCCGGCCCTGCCCTACATGTGTCTCTGGAAGGGGCGGCCCTGCCACGGGCACTGGCCAGGCGGCAGCCAGGCCTGCCGTCTCCTTGTGCTGCACGGTGTCAGCAGGTGACGTGTGTTCTTTGAGTCCTCGTATGAATAAAAGGCTGGAGACCGCGTGTGGCTGCAGTGATCCCGCTGTGCTCAGCCCGGCCGCAAGGGTGTGCCGTGGGCCGTGCACAGCAGGCCGTGGCCGGTTGGGAGGTCAGGAGGGGTTCGGACACAGATCGCGCCTGGCGGTGTGGCCCACGGCTGCAGAGTGCTGTCCTGCCCCCAACCGGGGTCCCCCCTGCCGTCCACCCTCACTGCCCCTGCTCTGTACACACACATCCAGACACGTGTCCCAGGAAGGTTCCCGTTACCAGTTCCTGCCAAGTAGCCTCAGAGATGCCCAGATCAGGGCACGGGGACCAGCGTCTCCTGAGGCCGAGCCTGGCGAGACATCCTGATGGTCCAGTCAGCCCCCAGTGCTACAGAGAGCCCTGCCACACCTGGCTCCTCTCACCAGAGCACGGACCCCTGCCCAGCCACGCTGCCCTTCCCCAGGCAGTCCCGTGGGATCCCTGAGTGAAGCTGCCAGACCCACTTTTGCCCCCGGGGGGCCCTGCAGCCCCTGGACACCGGCCTCTGCAGCACCGCACCGAGTGCAGGGCCCGGCACCTCAGCCAGAGGCTGCAACGCAGAGGCGGCAGCCACCGAGGGTCACTTTATTTGGGTGTCGTAGCCCACAGTGGCTGCCGGTCAAATGTTCCGCAAAGCTTCTCTTGTCTCCTGGGGCCCTGGACCACTGAAGGACCAGCAGTCAGGACCCTGGGCCCCGTGAGTACAGGGAGCTGGGCCCCCAGCACGGGGTCGGGGGGGCCAGGCGGCGCACCCTGGGAGGAGAATGCAGCTCCACGGAGGGAGTCCTGCAGGGGTCGCAGCTCCTGCTGGGCCTGGGGCGAAGCTCAGGCCTCCCTGGACACCTGCCGGGCAGCAACTGCGTGCTCACCCGCCCACCCCTCCACGAGTCCTGGGGTGGTCCCCGTTCCTGCTGGCCCAGCTCCTCCTGGAGCCCTGTATAGGCAGGTGGGCGCCCAGACGCTCACTCGTGACTGTAGGTGCAACGTAAGCACCTCGACTTGCGTGGCAGCTTCAGGGTCTGACTTCTGTGGCTCGTCGCCACGTTGCTTCAAAGGTTTCCTTGTGAACAGAGCTGGATGTATTTTCCCTGTCGGGGGAAAGGAGTCCACAGGGGAGGTGACAGCCGATGGGTCAGGAGCACGAAGGGAGGGCGCCCACCTCGGGGGTCTCTGTGCCTTGTCCCTGCAGCCCTGGGCCCGGCCCCGGACCACCCGTGAGCGCCCAAGCCCTGCCCACCCCAGGCCAGGTGCTGGGCAGCGAGAGGCTCCCCCTCCTTGGCTCCTGGGCCCCGTTCATTCCTCATGGGGATGCAGGAAGCCACAGACAGCCTGACCGACCCACAGTGACGGGCAGAGATCAGCCAGCTCCACAGGGAGCTACCTGTGGGTGGCCTGGGCAAGGCCAGCGTGTCCACACGCTTGTGCGGACACCTGTCCCACCGGGGGGAGGGGGAGGGGCTCCTTTTATTGTTGACTTTTTAAAATTTCCAGCATTGCACTAGGTCGGATCCAGGGCCTTGAAGCTCTTATAAGGAGGTGGAGGGTGGTCTCTTTAAAAACAAGAACACAAACCACAAAGGAAACTAAGCTGGGAGCCTCCCCAGGACCCGGAGGAGGAGGAGGTAGCGGGTGGGAGGGGGGAGGGGCAGGTGCCCAGCTCCCCAGGCTCCAAGCGGGGGCTGGCGGGGGCTCTGTGGCCTGGAAGGAACCTGAGGTTCCAGGCACTTGTTTTCTGCATCCTTCCTGGGACTCACCCTGCCCCCCACCCCATCTCTCCAGAGCACAGAACGCTGGCTCTGGGCAGAACCCCAGCACCCCAAATTCCAGGCCCTTTATCTCAACCACCAACATTCCCGGCCAAATGCCACTGCCCTTTCCCCATCCCAAGGCCTCCTCCCAGGCTGTGCCCCTCTTGGGCTCCCCGACTCCCCTTCCCAGCTTCCGGGCTGCTCCCCAGACCTTATCTGGCATCCCTCGGGGTACTACCAACCGGCCTGGTCCCTCCGGCCCAGAGGCTCCGGCCCGCCACCCCCCACTGTCCCCTCCGCTCATGCCCTGAGAACATGGGCTCCCCTCATAGCATCCTCTTGGCCTGTCCCCCGCCCCCCTCCTCCCCCGCTCTAGGAGGGGTCCGTCAGCCCATCCGCACTCCCGCCCCTTCTCTCCCCCGCCCGCACCCCGCCCCCCTTCACGCACGCTCTCCGCCGTCCTCCCTCACTGCACTCCTGGCCTGCTGCTCTTCCACTGAGTCTGGACCCCAGAGGCCACGGCCGCCACCCTCGCTCTGAGGTCGCCCACGGTCCCCCTGGGCCACCGCCCCCCTGCGCCGTCCCGCCCCGCCCCACCTCAAGTGTCCCCGGCGTGGGCCTGGGGCGAGGCACGTGGCAGGGCCCCTCTTACCAGCCTGAGGGAGGACCCCAGCGTCCAGGTGGCTGGCCGAGAGGAGCCTGGAGTGGGGGGAGCTGCGAGCGAGGGTCGCAGGGGAGCCAGGGGGCATCCGGGCACACTCTTGAGCCAGAGGAAGGGTGGGCGTGGCTGGGGGGAGTGAGAAGGCAGGGGTGGGAGCACCTCGGAGCAGCCTCAGCAAACACCCCTCACGGCTGCCCGGCGACACAGCCCCCGGGCAGCCCGGCCCTCCACCTACTTGGCAGTGACCGCCTCTGCACACGCGGACACACACGGACACACACCCCCTCCGCAGCTGCCCGGGGCAGGAGAAATCCCACCGTGCTGCCTCCCCTTCCTGAGGCCGTGGGCAGTCCGCTCTCCCCCTCAACTTCTCGGGACACGCAGGACTTGACCCTGAGGCCGCGCACCCCCCCCATCCAGCCACGCAGCTCCAGTGACCGCCCACGGCTGACGCGTCCACCCCGGCAGCCCTGCCACGTGCTCCCGGCGCCAGCGTGCGCTTCTCTGCAGCTCCGCCTCCTGCAGCTGCCCAGGACTGAGCGTTTCAACGTTGAGCTCTGACCCTGCACCCCCTCCCGCCAAAACTTGACCCGTCACTTAGACCCGTCGATCGCTGCCTTGTGCCCCCCCCCCACACCGTGGCTGGTCCCCCTCCTGCCCTCGTGGCCCTGACACCCAGCACAGCCCCTGAGGGACCCAGCACCAGGCCCTCGGAGCTCCTCCCTCTGGGGCACCGAGGTCCCGGAGAGTCACCAGGCCTCGCACACCGTACTCCCTGGCCTCAGCCCACCCCCCGATGGCGGTCTCACCCCGAGCGCTGCTGCCCCAGCGACCTTGGACGTTCCCCTCCCACCAGCCTCCAGCAGGCGACCAGCAGTCCCAGCGACGCCACGACCCCTCGAGGGGGTGGGACCCACGAGGGAGGGGCGGGCAGCCTCCTCCAGGTCCAGGGTGTCGTCGGGGGCACAGGTCGGGCCCAGAGTGCAGCCTGGACACAGCCTCCCTAGCTTCCTGGGGCCCGTCTTCCTGCCGCGGGGCCTAAGCGACCAGAACTCCAAGTTCGCAGAGAGCCAAGGGGCCAGCGGCCAGCCCAGCCCACTGCGGCCGGGAGAAGGGAGGTGGGATTTCGGGGCACATCCTCACGCTCAGAGAACAGAAGCAGGCAGAGGGTCTCAGCAACATCACAGAACTTTCTGGAAAGGGAGCTTTGCTTTGCAGAAGCCCCTAGCACGGGGCCCCCCTTGCTCCACACACACTGGCAGTGCCGGGTGCCATCCGGCTCTGAGTCTGTCAAGGGGAAAGCTGACCCCAGGGACAGCCAAGAGCCCAAGCTACCCCTGTGTCTGAAATCCCGACCGGCGGCTGCCCGAGGCACCCGAGGGACCTGAGGGGGTGGCCATTGGCTTGGCTGTATCCCTGCTCTGGTCGGAGTCTCCGTGGACGGCAATGTGGGAGGGGAATGGCCGGCACGAAGGAGGGGTCCATGAGGCACAGCCTCCCAGACACTGCAGGAACCACCAAGGGCAAGGTGAGAGGTGATGGGTTCCCGTATATACTGGAGACGCAGCTGAACTTCCGCGTGAGAAAGGGGGAGAGGACAGCGCTGGGCCCGTGGCCTGAGGGTGGCGGTGATGGGGAGATGCTTCACCACACAAGTAAAAATACACAGAGGCACAGCATCCATTAGATAGATCAATGGAGCAGAGAGGTAAGATCTAAGCTGGGACGACCAAAGCGCAACAACCGTAGAATGGAATGCCGTGTATCCTTTTAAGAAATCAGTGGCTGAAAGCATTCCCTTAAAGTCACAGGTGGCCTGCCGCTGCCACGTCATCCAGCACCACTGCAGCACCGGCCAGCGCGCCGGGGAAGGGATAGAGAGCCACAGACGCCGGAGAGGGACGGACCCAGGCATGGCCATCTCCGGAGCCCGTGGCCGACCACCCAGAGAGCTGGGGGCAAGCAGCAGCCGCGGCTGCCCGATTTCATCCGTGGTGCGGGCACAGGTCATGTGTAAGACGGACGCTGGGGCCTGCGGGTGGGTCCCCCGTGGACGGTACTGAGGCACTGTTGTGGCACCTGCGGTTCGGCTTGCACACAGTTCCTTGTGGAGGCCGGCAGCCGTGGCCCTCCCCCACACAGCAGCTCTCCCTCCTGGAATGTGGGCCCCCCCAGGGCAGGGACCCGGTGCCCTTGTCCTCTGCGGTGTCCTGGGTGCCCAGAGCATACTGGGCAGCGGGGACGCACTCAGTGCACGTGTTGGCCCAGAAAGGAGTGGACATCGCAGCACCCATCTGGGGGCGGGAGGGAGGGAATGAACCACGTTTGCGGGAGGTCGGTCCAGCCAGAGGGTGGAGCCAAGCGCCAGGGTGGGTGTGGCGACGCAGCGGCCAGAGGCGCGAGGGCTCTGAGGGCGTGCGGGTGGAGGGCGGAGCTACATGGCCCTGGGCCGCACACTGAAGGCGGAGCTGATCAGACTTGCTGAAGATCTGACGTGAGGTGTGAAAGAGGTTGACGGTGATGCCTTTGTAACGGAAAATATCAAACTCAACAGCAACATATTGTTGCCTAGAAAACAACATACAGAA